AAGGTAGCACTGGGTGTGTCTGTCCGCCCAGAGGCGGTAGTGAAGGCAGAACGAGTGCGCCGTGCCTCGGGCCTCCGCCACCCCGATCGGTCGTCCGATGGGCAGATGGATGAGACACAAATCGATGCGCACAAGAACCACTCCGACGGAAGTGAATGGGACAAGGAAAGGTGGATTTTTGCTGGGTCGGACAAGGCTTGCAGGATAAAGCATGCAGGCAGGGAAAACAGGACTGCCTTATCAGCAGACCGACGCACACACAAACACTGACACACAAATGGGCACGCGTACGCACGCGAACACAACTCAACGCGTAAACCGGTGAGGCGTGGACATAAGCCCTGCCTGCGTCCGGACGGAAGTGGCCCGGACAAACGACTGCCGATCGATCAACTCGGTCAGACACCGGCCGGCCCGAGGGAATGACTGCAGTCCGAGTGTGCCGACAACTCGGCGCCACCTGGCTCGAGTCCGAAGTTGGCCTAAGCCTGTCGGCCTCGACAAGAAATGGCCTCGAGCTGGCCAGTTGCGACAAGTGGTCGCGCCGATAAAGATGAAATAAACGAAACAAAATGAAATAGTCCCGCTATTATTTGACTTGGCCCTGCTTGCCAAAAGATAATCGTATTTATATGCTAATGTTCATGTCCTAATCTTAATGATAACGGAATTCCGCCATGGTTGCTCAAGCAATGGGCAAATATTTTGAGAAGCCTGAATCGTCGTCATCATCATCATCATCATCACCATCAGCTGGAGCACAGCAGAACAGGAGGAATTCAAAGTAGTTATCTGGTGAGGTCGGCATACGAGTTTATTCATTCATACCATAATACTAAATGAAGTCATGTTGTCTGAAAAGACGAATGGAAGGGATTCATATATTGGCTTTGCCGGTAGCAGAAGTCGATTGCCTTGGGGTTGTGACAGTAGGCTTTTGCCCTGAGGACTTTTTTGCACAAATATCGGCTAATTGAGGCCAATTAATGAATGCCTTCAAATGAAAATGAAAGGTACGTCAACATCAACGCGTTGAGGGATTCTTCAAAACCTATTTGTCCCTCATGTCTATAAATGTAAGTAAGTTGGCTTGCCACCGTTGCCCGTCGTGACTTCGCTGGACTTCCTCTGCCAAATTGAAGATGTGAAGAC